CTGCCCTACCTCCCATTTGCTGCCAGGAGAACCTATCTTCAGTCTCATCTCCCAATCCCGGTCCAGAAAGAAAAGATCCTCCCAGCTCTAGCCCACCCTCCCTATAAAGGTCCCTTGATTAAGCTATTAAGTTCAACGGAATAATTCAGTGAAGGAGAAATCCTACCTGCTGTCAGATTTCCCATGTAAATGGTGCCCAGACGTGCTCCTGGGCTGTTGTCTGACGAGGCGGGGTTGAGCTGGCTCCAAGCTCAGACCGACTGCAAATCCCCTTCCCAGCCACGTAGAGCCCTGGGCCACCCAGGGTCACACAGTGGAGGCAGCAGCTGGCCTTCACATTTGCACAGAAGAACCGGAATTGCTCATTCTGGTGTCTCATGATCAGGTATGTTCAATAGCCATGCAGTAAAAGGGTGTTTGAGGTGAGCAGCTGTTTTCCAAGTTGTTTTCTATCTCTGGAGAGTTGGTGGGTCTCTGCCTGTCTCCTGGGGCTCTGCCTTGGGAGGCTGATGCGTCTCTTCTTTCACTTCTCTAGGCCTTTCACTCACTCATTCATTCACTTACTCACTCCCTCACTCATTCATTCACTCACTCATTCATTCACCTACTCATTCATTCACTCACTCCCTCCCTCACTCACTCATTCATTCACTTATTCACTCATTCCCTCACTCATTCATTCCCTCACTCATTCATTCCCTCACTCATTCATTCACCTACTCATTCATTCACTCCCTCCCTCCCTCCCTCACTCATTCATTCACTCACTCATATATTCACTCATTCATTCATCCAACACACTAAGGACCCACTACGCTCTCAGAGTTCAAGCCCTCCCCACCCCCACCCATGATCAGAAAGGACACCTGTGCACTCTGTGAGCACCTCTGGGAACAGGGTAATTAAAGGCTAGCTGTCGCCACTACTCACAGAGAACTCTTTGGAAAGAAGGTCTAGGATATCATATTAATTTTTCTATAAATATTTTTGTGGCCCAGCTGGTGTGGCTCAGTGGTTGAGCATCAACCCATGCACCAGGAGGTCGCTGGTTTGGTTCCCGGTCAGGACACATGCCCAGGTTATGGGTCCGATCCCCAGAGGGGGGCATGCAGGAGGCAGCCAATCAATGTTCTCTCTCATGGATGTTTCTATCTCTCTCTCCCTCTCCCTTCCTCTCTCTCTAAGATCAATAACAAAAAGCTATTTTAAAAATATACATTTATTTAAATAAAATATACATATATATTTATATATAGTGCATTGCTCTGTACCAGACCTCTCCCTCTGTTGAACAGTGGCCTACAGAGCTGAAGAGGACACCCACCATTCTTCTCTTAGGAACCCCTAGTCTTGCGAGAGGGGAAGGGCTGTAATGCAAAGTTGGGATGAAATGCTGAGATTGGCCACATCCGGGCCCAAACTGTAGCCCTGCCACATGCCAGCTGTGTGGCCTTGAGTAAGTTACTCACACTCTCTGAGTGCATCTACTTGCCCATAAAGTAGAGATAATAATTCTCTTATGTGTTTGTACCATTTGCTGGGCCCGTATCACATGCTGCTGGTCTGTAGCAGGCTGTGAGGAGCTGGCTGAGAGCTGTGTTTCTCCACTCCTTCCTCTGCGTCATGGTGCAGACTTGTTCGTAACAGGGGCTCCTGCACGCTGAGCGAGCCCCTCCCGTGGGCAGGGCACTGGCACGTGCTGAGGCAGAACGGTGGGAGACTGGGACTGTTCCGGGCTCTTTGCTGTTAGTGCTGAGCCACCAGGGAGCTGAACCCTTGCCTGAGTGACCCTCTGGATAGCAGGTAGTGGTTCCACGCTAAACTGATGTCCCCTAAGCAGTCATTTCACTTGCAACAAGCAATGAGGCCGACAGTCAGGCACAGTCCTCCCTCCCATGGCACACTGAAGTCACGTTCCATCTTGAGGACACACGGGCACACTGCCGCACTCTGTCTTCAGCCGAGTCTTTGCCTAGGTGCACGCTTCCCTGTTGAGATGACAAGCCCCCTCAGGGCTAAGGCTATGCCTGGCTGATCTCTCCATGTGCCCCCTGCCAGGCTGAGCCCAGTGCCTGTGGGACTTCGTATGTGTTTACTGAATGGATGTGGAGCCTCTCCAACCAGGACCACCTCGGCTTATTTGGCATCTTGGTGCTGATTAGAAAGTCTCTCTGTGCGTGTAACAGCCCCGAGCCAGGGCTCCCAGCAAGGTGAGGGCTACATTGGAGGTCCTTGCCACTCAGCCCGGAAGTCAGCTGTTCCTTTCTAACGCTCTGTCCCTTCTCCATGCTCCTGTCCCAGCCTTCCCCTTCCTCTCATCACGAATCTCCCCGGAGATTCCGCGGGGCAGCGAGTTGAACAGGACTTTCCCTTCAGAATTGCACAGAGGCCCTGGCCGGTTTGGCTCAGCGGTTAGAGCGTCGGCCTGCGGTCCACAGAGACCCGGGTTCGGTTCCCGCTAAGGGCACGTACCTTGGCTGCAGTTTGTCCCCGGCCCTGGTTGGGTCGTGTGGGTGGCGGCCACTCGATGTGTCCCTTTCACATCGATGTTTCTCTCTCTTCCTCTCTCTCCTTCCTGCTCTATCTGAGTAAAAAATGGAAAAATGTCCTCGGATGAGGATAAAAAAAAACAAAACAGAATTGCACAGAGGACTAAAACAATGATGTGGAGTGTTTAGCAATGAGCCTACAAGCTTAGTAGAAGCTCAGTAAATGTTGGCTTACCGTAAAAACCCTGAAAATATTTTTTACTTCAGGGAAAAAAATAAAACAACCTTCACAGATCAAACTTTCACAGCGCCTAGGGTGGGAGTGAGGCGTGAGAGTCCACGGGCAGCCTGGATGATTCCAGAGGGCCAAAGGCTTCTGCGTCCTCACTAGTGCATTCATTAAGTGTCTGCTGTATGCAGCGCCACTATGCTAGGTGCTCGCTTGAAAACAGCGTGTGGGCCGGCATGAGACTGAATCCCAATCTTGCGTGTGGGGAAGGTGAGGCCCAGAGTTCCAAGTTTACCCAGGGTCACTGAGCCAGGGAGGACAGGTGTGGGGTGCAATCTCAGGAGACCCAAGTCTGCAGCCCTCACCTTTCCTGCCCGGGCCCTGCTCTCCTTCCTCAATGACCCAGGGACACCTGCCCGGAGGTTTGTAGGAGGTCCCTGTGTCTGAGGCACGGTGCTAAGAGCAGAAATCAAGCACACCTCATGCCTAGTTGACAAAATCAAGCCAACCCAACAGCACGAAGTTCCTGGCTGCAGGACAGAGCACAGGCACTTGAAAAGCTGCAAAATGGTTTGCATTGACCTTGGCCTCCTAGGGAGGTAGCCAGCAAAGGGCACTGCAACCTACAGCAGAGAACGCACAGGCTTGCCCTGGGGTTGAGCTCACTTCGTCCTGGCAGAGGCTGGGTCGGAGCAGAGATGGGCCTGGGCACGGGCAGAGGCTGGGAGTGGGGCGCAGAGCCCCGGCTGGGTGGGTCCTCACTGTGGCAGAGACACCGTCCCAGTGACAGCAGCGAAAAGGAAGCCGTGGGTGTGGAAACTCCCTTGGTTAAAGAAGTGTGCGCTTTCCTTTCAGTTGTGGTGGGGAGGGAGGTATTGACAACCAGGAGGTGTGACTCAATAGGGTTGGGGTTTCTGAGGTGCCTGTCTGTGGTGTCACAGGGAAGAGCAGGAGGCGCCGGGGACCAGGGCACGAGATTTGCTCTTGCAGCTTCTGGAGTGAATGAGGAGCGAGTCCTGGCTGGGAGGAGCGGGGGAATGAGACAAGTGTTACTTCCCAACCTGTGCAGAGGTGTCTTCTCTTGGCATTTTTGCTCAGGAGGAAACAGGAAACAAGACGACTAGAGAAGGTCAGGCCAACGTCAAGTGTGGGGCTAGTCATTACCAGGTGAATTAGCCGCCCAGGCCCAGGGCAGCGGGCTGGGCACAGTCCTCCACCGTGGATCAAGCAGCACTTTTATGGCTGCAAAGGCCGGGATGATGGCGACATTTCCTCTGGGGGGGCTGCAGGATGACCTACCATCTGGGTTTGCTTGGACGGAAGGGATTTCCGACAAGGGAAGCTGTCAGAGCTAAAACTGGACAGGTCCTGGGCAAACCAAGACAAGAGGTTACCACAGAGCATGTGAATCTATGTCTTATCCCTCAAGGAAGAGAAGAATTTGCTGGTTCTGAGGGGAGGAGGGGAAAATGTCGCCCTGAAACGAAGACAAGGGCTCTGGTGGGTCTGCTTGGGGCTCTGGAGAGTAAGAACTCTGTCTGCAGTCTCAGCTTCCTGCAGAAGACATTAGGGCCCAGAGGGCGAGGAGGTGGGGATGACGAAAGGGGGCGAAGACTTGCTTTAGGAAGTTGAGACTGGAAGGTGTGAATTATGGGGGCCCTTCCCCCCCATCCCCTCTTCTCCTCCCTGCCCAGTCCTCTCTTTCCCATCCACACATGGTAAATCTAGCTACTTTTTTTAAATTATTATTTTTTCCTTCATTGATTTTTACAAAGAGAGGAAGTGAGAGGGAGAGAGATAGAAACATCGATGAGAGAGAACATCGATTGGCCTCCTCTTGCACGCCCCCCACTGGAGATCTGGCCCACAACCTGGGCGTGTGCCCTGACCGGGAATCGAACTGGTGACCTCTTGGTACGTGGGTCAACGCTCAACCACGAACCACACCGGCCGGACTGGAGAAACTTTCTAAAATATAAGATAAAAAGATTTGTCTTGTGCTTCAGAAAGTTTAGATTCGAATGCTAGCTGACCCACTGGCTGGGTAGCTTTGGGCAAGTCACTGTCAGAGACCTGGCTTCCTCTCTGTCAAAGGAGTCAGTCATAGCTCATCAGAGACAGCCATGGGGACACGCGGTGCCAGGTGTGACACTGGGAAATGTATTGGTTAGGCACCAACCAATATTTGTTTCTTCCAGCCTTCCTATGTATGGGGACAGACAGAATTCCAACTTTGTCCCTCTGAGAACTCATACTGTTCCTTGTTTTCCCTTCTGACCCAGGCCCTCACCATGCCTACCCCCGTCCATGAATCAATTTCAGAAGACTTTCAGTATTATGAGGGTGCGGAAGCCTGTCACATGGAGGACATCATGGCCTTTGGGACCACCTTCCTGCCCATAGTGTACTCCCTTGTTTTTGCCTTTGGCCTGGTGGGAAATTTGCTGGTGGTGTTCGCCCTCACCCACAGCCAGAAACCCAAGAGTATCACTGACATCTACCTCCTGAACCTGGCCTTGTCGGATCTGCTCTTTGTCACCACCTTGCCCTTCTGGATTCACTATAAGATATGGGAAGAAGGCTTTCACAACTCTACATGCAAACTCACCACCGCCTTCTTCTTCATCGGCTTTTTTGGAGGCATATTCTTCATCACCATCATCAGTATCGACCGGTACCGGGCCATTGTCCTAGCCGCCAACTCCATGAACAACCGGACTGTGCAGAATGGTGTCACCATCAGCCTAGGTGTCTGGGCAGCAGCCATCCTGGTGGCAGCACCCCAGTTCATGTTCACAAAGCTTACAGAAAACGAATGCTTTGGGGACTACCCTGAGATCTTGCAGGACATCTGGCCTGTGCTCCGCAACGTGGAAGCTAATGTTCTTGGTTTCTTGTTCCCCCTGCTCATTATGAGTTACTGTTACTTCCGAATCATGATGACACTGTTTTCTTGCAAGAACAACAAGAAAGCTAAAGCCATTAAACTGATCTTTCTGGTGGTCATCGTGTTTTTCCTCTTCTGGACACCTTACAACATTACGGTGTTCTTAGAGACACTCAGTCTCTGCAACTTCTTTCCCGATTGTGACAAGAAGAGGGATCTGAAATTGGCCCTCATTGTGACCGAGACAATTGCATTTATCCATTGTTGTCTCAATCCCCTTATCTATGCGTTTGCTGGGGAGAAGTTCAGAAGATATCTCTACCACCTGTACAGGAAGTGCCTGGCTGTCCTGTGTGGTGGTTCCATGCATGCCAGTTTCTCCTCTTCTGAGTCACAAAGGAGCAGGAAGGGAAGTGTCCTGAGTAGCAATTTCACTCACTTCACCAGTGATGGAGATGCATCCGTGAATCTCTGAAGAGATCTCCAAAGCCTTGTCCCTACAGACAGCCTGGAGCTCCTGAGTCTGTCACTGAAAAATGAGGACAATTTCTTTGTTTCTTCTGCACAAGAAATGATGGGCCCAATGGCAAACAAACAAACAAACCCTAAGGTGTTTTTGAGAACTGAGCTCAAAATTTGAATGATAAAGGATAGGCATGTCTCTTACTGCAAAAGTCAGGACTTTTTTGTTTACAAATGACAGAAGCGTGACTCAGACTAGCTTAGCTAAAAAGGAGGTGGTATTGTATACTGTGGCACTTGCAAGGGGGTGGCTGAGCCCTCTGTGTGCCCAGAAACCAGGGTTTGAATTTAGCCAGAATTTCCTCTCTCTGACTCTCAAATATGAGTGGTGACAGAACTCCCAGACACACAAAGCACAGCTTTGTCATCAGAAAGGGACCGAGACCCATTCCTCCCTCTCTGGTCTCTAGGTCAAAATTCCCAGGGAAGGGCTCTGATTGGCCAAGTGTGTATCAGATGCCCATCTTTGGATCTGGTGGTGGTATCCACAGGATAGATCAGATGCAGTTTTCTTTCCAATCTCATAGCTAGAGATTCAGGGAGACATATTTCCAAGAAGCTAGAGAGGTGAGTGCTGTTTTGATCACTCAGAACAAGAGCTGCCCACCAACCTTATTATGTGTCTGGCCCAGTCTCCCCTCCAATCATGCCAGTCAGCACACACCACTACCCTCCTCTTCAATAAACCCCTTCTCTCATGTCCCCAAACCTACAAAGTTTCCCTATTACCAACTGTCTCAAGTCCAAACTCAAGTCCTTGGCCTCTGAGACCCTCCATCATGTGGTCTACCAAGAGATTCCCCATTGTCTCCCCTTTTCAAAGGACTCCACTCACCTTGTCACCCAGATTTCTTCCATCTGGCTTCATATATCTCTACCTGATTTTGGGCCCAAGGGGAAAAATAGAAAGAACCCTGGTCCAAACAGAGAAGGGTTTCCCATCCCAACTCTCTATCTTTTGCCCACTGGGTAGCCTATGGTCAACTGAGCTTCAGTTTCCTCATCTACAGAATGGAAATAATGGTAGTTTTCACATTGGTAGCATCATTTCCAGCATGAAGAACAAGCCACCAATGGTTGTAGGTCCCAACACTCTTATCTGGTTCCCAAACTACAGCTTGCTCCCCACCTGGCTTCATGCTTAAGCGATGGTGTTGGCAGAGCCTGAAGGAATCTACAGGTCTGCTGCATGCTGTACCAGACACAGAGAAGGCTGGTTCCTAGAGTGGCACTCAGGGGACATGCCTGTATGTACATATTGATAGCTTCCCTGACCCAACCCCCCAGACTGCCCAGTCCTCCCTTCCAATTCTCTCATGGCAAACCCTTGCCCATCTGGAGATAACCTCATCATTCATGCCACTGCCAACCTGGTCTGCCAGGGTCATGGGAGTAGCTCAGTAAACATTTGGGAAGGTCTAAAATGTTAAAGCTTGAAAAACAACTGTAATAATGCTAAAGAGAATGTCACCTGTAATCCAACCATGCTGTATTATCATTTGCTCATCCAGATCTTGTTCATACCCTCATGTGTTTAATATTGCAATCACAACATACAGATAGCTTTGTAATCTGCTTTTCTTCTCTTAACATTAGACCACACATTCATTACTCTCTGTTTCTCCATAGTTCTGTGATGATCATTTTAGAAGATTCTGCCAGGATGTGTGCTCATTAAAAGCATTTAACTCATGGCTGTATTTCTGATACCTCCTTGGCAGTTAGTATGTTTGTTTAATCAATGAAAGAAAGAATCATGTTCCCTCAAGATCATGTACCACAGTTTATTCACCATTACTCTGTTAATAAACATTTCACTTATTTCCAATATCCACCAAATACATACATGTGTGATTTCCTTTCTCCTCTTCAATTACGGCCACAGGGAAAAATTCCATGCCACAGGGATCACTGGGTCAAAGAGCATGGGAACTTTTTAATTGCTGACACGCATATGAAAGTAGTATGTCACAAAACCTTTATTAAGCATATATTCTATGCAACATGTGAGCTCAGATGCAGCATTGTTGCAAAGATGAGTGAGACCAGGCTTCTGCCCTCGGTGCTTGAGCAGTGCTTAACACTGAAGTGCAGAGCAGAGAAATGAACGGATAAGAATAATTTGCATGCGTTGGTAATACAAGGACAGTGACATGTGACCTGATTGTGTAAGGGTGAGAGGTTCTCCAGGCAGAAAGGAGGCGATGGCGTTCTAGAGCAAGCGAAGGGCATATGTAAAGGGGATGTGAGAACATGGAGCCCCTAAGAGAAGTGTGCGACTCCTGAAAGGCCTTGGGAGCAGAGTGGGTAGTGGGAACCTTCTGGAGCTTTGGCTCCAACAACCAGTGGAGGGGACTGTTCTCACGTATTCACAAGGTCACTCCATTATTACTTGACCTTCATTCCAGCTGTTGAATCATGAAACTTTTAATTAAATTTTAACTTATATTGTGTATTCGAAAGTTGCTAAAAGAATAGATTTTAAAAGTTCTCACCACAAAAAAAAATAGTAACTGTGTGAAGTGATGAATATATTAGCTAACCTTACTGTGGTGATCATTTTGTATACATATATGTACTAAATCACTATGTTGTACACCTTAAACTTATACATGGTCATATGTCAATTATATCTCAGGAAAGAAAAGAGCAGAGAATATAGGTAGGCAATGGAAATTCTCCAGAAAGGAGGTCTTCAGGTAGAAAGTTTACCAGAATCTGTCTACTCAACGATAAGAGATGCAGCCTTGGCCGAGAGCTGTTCTGTGACATCAGTAGTATCTCTAATGAAAGATGGTCAACAGACTCGGCAGCAGAGGATACCAGAGTCCCAGAGGCAAGTGCTGTCAGTGTCCAGCAGCAGGTTTTGGTGGGCAGACAGAGCCTTAGACCAGAGCAGGTGCTGTCAGGGGATGGCCACCTCCTGGGGCTGCCCCAGCACTGGGGGGAAATGCCGAGTCTCTTCCAAATAATCCTACCCACTTTAGGCTTAGTTGATGCTCATCAAATGACAATCTAAGGGAGAAGTCAGCTTCCCAGGGACCTTACCACCAAGAAAGATGGAGAACACATGCTTTGGGTTACTGGGAAGAGCCCACCACCCCTTAGGATCCACTACATCTGAGTTGTGTATAGGATCCGGTGGGCTACCCATCATCTCTCGGAAAGCTGTCCCTGAGCACCCCGAGAAGGAATTCATCTCTGGCTCTACAAGCCAACAACTACACTTGGGATCATGGAAACTCAACTCTGAGCGGTCCACCTTGGGTACCACCTGGCCCCTAGATGGTGTCTCATTAGTGCCCCCAAATTCAGGCAGTCTGTCCCAACTCACAAGCTAATTTTCTTCTCCACGCGCGCTCCACTCTCTGGCCCATGGGGACCACTTAACTTCATCGTGACTTGTCTACTGTTGGCTCAACTTGCTGAGCTGGCAACCACATTTTGGGCTACCCAAAAGTAGTATTATCTGAGAGCAGGTGAGAGTGGGTCTTGGCAGATTTAGAAATATCTGGTTTCTCTTCAAGATGCCCCTCATCCATAGGAAGGCCAAGCTGTTTTTGCAAAGATATAGAGAGCCTTGTTTCCAGGTCTGTTGCAGGAGGCACGTTGCTAGGCAGCAGCCAGAGTTCCTCCACACATGCCCGAGACAGCTCTAGAAACCACAAAACAGGCTGGGCAGGGAAATCCCTCTTTACCCCAGAGTTCCTCACTTATTTAGGTAGAAACAAAAATAGATTTCAATCTTTATTTCTTTACATACGACATAAGATTATTCCAATTCTCGTTGGGTGTATTTTATATTCTTTATATCTTCTTTCTGATTATAAAAGAAATGCACAATCATAGAAAATACATAAAAATAAAGAAATGCATAAAAATTTTAGATTACACTGTGAAGGACAGACAATAGGGCAATAAAACATAAAGAACATACAGCTAAAGTACCGTGCAAACTGGTAGTTAAAAATGTCCCACTTGGTAGACCTTGCCCTGGCCCCTAAGGGGATTACAGGAACTAGGTGGGAGGGAAGGAGACAGGCATCAGCCGGAGCTGACACTATATTGTGCAAACAGAACTCACCCCTCAGACATAATGGCTAACTGCAGATATCCGCTTCTGTACCTGCTTGCTTGCTCGCAGACCCTTAGCCCAATTTCTTAACAGGGGCTAAGACAACTGTGTAAGCAACCCACCCCCTGAGCCCGGGGCTGCTCTCTCCTCTACGTAGGATGGGACAGTCGCCGCGCGGCTAATAAAGCTCTGTTAATTTGAACCCAGTTCGGAGTCTGAGTCTGGTCTGTCTGGTTGGTCTACAACACAATATTTCACCTCCCAGAAATAACTGTTGTCGAACATGGAGGTTTTCTCCCAGGCCTTTCTCTGCTGATTGAATTGTTTATAGAACACTTGAGATCATACCTTACATAGAGTTTTTATATCTTGTTTTGTTTACTTAACATGGCATCAACATTTTCCCATGTGTTGAACTCAAACATGATTCTTGATGGCTGCACAGGAGTCCATGTCGACTTCTTCTAGCCAAGCCCCTACGAACTATGAATGGACTCCCGGTTTTTTACTCGTATGCACCAAACTGAACATAAATCTCTGCGTAAGAGGGATTACTGGCTCAGTGTAATTAAGCATGTGTGTCTCTTGCTCACTACTGCAAAATTACTTTTATTAATTTTTTATTATTATTTTTTATCCTCACTGGAGGACATTTTTTGCATTTACCTTCAGATAGAGCGGGGAGGAGAGAGGAAGGAAGAGAGAGAGAGAGAGAGAGAAACATCGATATGAGAGAGACACATCGACTGGTCCGCGGGTCGACACTCTAACTGCTGAGCCAGACTGGCCAGGGCACAAAATTACTTTTAGAAAGATGATGTTGTGTTGCCAACACTCCAAGAGCCACACCTTCTTTTTGGTCAGGATATTGTGGACTTTTGTTAGCTGGTGAAATACCAACTACTGAATTCAAGAGGTAGAGAGGGGGAGGGGAAAGGACTTCCATTCTTAATTTCATTTTCTTTTTCTTTTTTTTTTTTTTTTTTATCCTCACCCGAGGACATTTTTCCATTTTTTGTACAGATAGAGTGGGAGGGAGAAAGAGAGAAACATCGACGTGAAAGGGACACATCGAGTGGCTGCCACCCGCACGACCAACCAGGGCCGGGGACAAACTGCAACTGAGGTACATGCCCTTAGCGGGAACCGAACCCGGGTCTCTCCGTACCGCAGGCGGACGCTCTAACTGCTGAGCCAAACCGGCCAGGGCAGGACTTCCATTCTTGAGAGGGGTGGTAAGGCTGCATTTCAGCAGACAGAGAAGCAAAGATGGGCGGATTCTTTAAAGTGATCAACACCATCACAAAAGACGTTATTTTAAGGAACAGAGACTACATTAAGGGGACACAAGCAAGGCCATCTGAGCCATATAAAACTTGTGGGGAGGGAGTGATGGGGGTTATTGCTCACTGGGGACAGTTTCAGCTTTGCAAGAAGAAAGGTGTTATGAAGATGGATGGTGGTGATGGTTGTATAATAATAGGAATGTACTTAATTCTATTGAACTGTATATTTAAAAACGGTGAAGGTGGTAAATGCTATGCTATGTGTATTTTACCACCGTAAAAAAAGTTGGGGGGAAAAAACAGATTCTAGGAAGAGAAGGTGATGGTGTCACTGGCTCTTGGGAGGGAGGGGTGTCTTGGAGGGAGAAGAAGTAACGGTGAACAGGGCACCTCATGCCATTTGGATGTTTAAAATGTGAACAGTATGCAAAAGGCAGCAAAGAGAGAACTGAATTCAGTTTAGCCCAGGAGAGTGCTGGAAGGTCAGCCCTCAATGCCTCGTGCACCGTCACCTGGATACACTTGGATTCGGCCCTCTCGGTTTAATGTAGGGCTCATTATCTGCAAAGCAAAAGAAAGGAAAACAAGCACGAGCAACTTTATTTAAACCCCTAGTAAACTCTCTCTGCATTGCATTTCACAACTTATTTATACCTTACATGAAAGTGGGTTCATTAGAAATCCAAATCACAGTGACGTATGGACACCCTATATCCTGGCCTTTTGCTAGCAGAGGTGATGCTCCAGTCAGCAAGGGAACTCCATTGGTACCAATTCTAAGGACTCCTTGGCATATGCAGTAGCCCCATCTTGGGGCAAGAGGATGGCCAGCTGCCAAGCTGGGAAGTCTCATATCAAACGGCTAATTTACACTTCCATCGGGAATGGATAAGTGCCCATTCCAAAGCATATTGTTTCACAGAGAAATAGGAGGAACCAGAGAAGAATCTCCACAGCCTCCCACCACCACATCTTGCCACCTCCCTGCAGCTGTGCCCACACGTTCCTGGTCCGAGGAAAGAAAGGTCTCCGCTCTTGTCGAAAACCAACTCTCCACTGTGCACCGGGCCCCACCTCTCCTGCCTCCCCAGCTGTGTTCCTGCACCGCGCCCTCTCTTCGGCACAGTTCCCTCTGCTGGATCGTTCTCCGTTAACACACGCCGTCCAGAACACTGCCCATTTTTAGAACCCTCCTCTTGACTCCGCATCTCCTCTAGCTCTTGTCCCACGTCTCTACTCTGTTTGGAGAGACTCAGAGTTGTCTCCAGGTCTTGGCCTCCACGCTCTCCTGAATTCCTTCTCGCCACTCCCTCAGCCGCACCAGCGCTCTCTGTGTGGCTAAATCCAAAGGTCCGTGATCGGGCCCACCTATCTTGACCCATCAGCAGAATGTGACAAGGTTGATGGCTTCCTCCTCCATTTGGTGCTGGAGGTATCACTCTCTCCCAGTTCTCTGACCACCTCACTGACTACTCCTTCACAATCTCCTTCTCTGGTTCCTTTCCGCCTCCTTGACCTCAAACCACTGAGCCCCCAGGTTAGGTCCCCAGATTCTGTCTCTTCTCTACATTCACTCCCCTGGAGAGCTCAGTCATTTGCAAAGCCTTGACCATCTCTCTGCTCTGCCCACACGCCCCTAAGTCCAGACGTGTACATGCAATTCCCTAACATCGCTTTGGTGGGACAATAAGCATCTCCCGGCACGCGTCCCCAAACCCCACACTCTCGTCTCAGAATGACAATTCCATTCTTCCAGCTGCTCTGGTCCAAACCCTTGGGGTCACACAGCAGCTCCCAGCCAGCGCTTTTTTTCAAAAACAGATCCTGCACCAGGTCAGTTCTCACTACTGCCATCACAGCCCCCCATCCAACACATCACCATCTCTCCACACCCCTTTCTCTGCTTCCACACCACTGTTCACT